TGAGCTGTTGACCACAATTCTTTGAGTGCAACTATCCAGCCAGTTCCTTATCCACCAAGTGGTCCATCTGTCAAATCCATGTCTCTCCAATTTGGAGGCAAGGATGTTTTGCAGGGCAGTGTCAAATGCTTTGCACAAGTCCAGGTAGGTGGTATCAGTTGCTCTTCCCTTATTTGCCAGTGCTGTAGCCCTATCGTAGAAGGTCACCGAATTTGTCAGACACAGTTTGCCATTAGTGAAGCCATGTTGGCTGTCACCAATCACCTCCTTATTTTCCATGTGCCTTAGCATAGTTTCCAGAAGGATCTGCTCCGTGATCTTAAAAGGCACAGAGGTGAGACTGACTGGCCTGTAGTACCTTGCATCTTCTTTTTTTCTCTTTTTAAAAATGGGGGTTATGTTTCCCCTTTTCCAGTCAGCGGGAACTTCACGAGACTGCCACAGCTTCTAAAATATGAGGGATAGTGGCTTAGCCACTTCGTCTGCCGGTTCCCTCGGGACCCATGGATGCATGTCATCAGGTCCCGTGGACTTGTGCACCTTCAGGTTCCTTAGATGATCTCGAACCTGCAGTGGGCGATTCTTCATTCTCCCAGTCCCTGCCTTTGCCTTCTGTAACTTGGGCGGTGTGTCCAGAGCACTTGCCAGTGAAGACTGAGGCAAAAAGTCATTGAGTTCCTCGGTCTTCTCCATGTCCCGGTTAAGCAGGTCTCCTGTTTGCTTCTGGAGAGGGCCCATTATTTTCCCTAGTCTTCCTTTTATCACCGCCATACCTATAGAAGCTTTTCTTGTTGCCCTTGATGTCCTTGACCAGATTAAAATCTATCAGGGCTTTAGCTTTCCTAACCTGATCCCTGGCTGCTCAGACAATTTCTCTGTATTCCTCCCAGGCTCCCTGTCCTTACTTCCACCCTCCATAGGCTTCCTTTTTGTGTTTGAGTTTGTCCAGGAGCTCCTTGTTCATCTGTACAGGCCTCCTGCTGTTTTTGCCCAGCTTCCTCTTGGTTGGGATGCATCGCTCCTGAGCTTGGAGGAGGTGATCCTTGAACATGAACCAGATTTCCTTGGCCCCTCTGCCCTCCAGGGCTTTATCACATGGTACTCTACCAAGCAGCTCCCTGCAGAGGCCAAAGTCTGCTCTCCTCAAGTCCATTGTGGTGAGTTTGCTGTGCACCCTCCTCGCTGCCCTAAGGACCTTGAACTCAACCATTCCATGGTTGCTGCAGCCAAGGCTGCCCTTGAGCTTCACATTCCCCACCAGCCCCTTCTTGTTGGTGAGAACAAGGTCCAGCACAGCATCTCTCCACGTTGGCTCCTCTGTCACTTGGGGAAGGAAGTTATCAACAACACATTCCAGGAACCTCCTGGATTGCTTATGCCCCGCTGTGTTGTCCCTCCAGCAGATATCGGGGTGGTTGAAGTCCCCCATGAGGACCAGGACTTGTGAACATGAGGCTGCTCTTAACTGTCTATAGCGGGCCTCAGCTGCGCAGTCTTTCTGGTTGGGTGACCTGTAGCAGACCCCCACTATAATGTCACCTGTATGACTTTGGGTGATTGTCGTTTAGCAAACACTGAAGAATGAGCTCTGAAAACATCAGAAGACTTTAACTGTTGATCTGAAGTTCCATCAGCCATGACTACAAGAAGGATGTAAGGCCAGCATGGAACAGGTTGAAGCATGATCTCCATCTTCTGTTTGCTGGGTGGCATCTCCAAAACCCTTTACTGGTGCTGCAAAGTGATGATAAGTGCCTGTAGATCTCTCTGCAAAATTAAACTCTCGGAAGGATATGGGAACTCCTAGCTGATGGCTTAAGTTATCTTGGATTTGGATCTCAGTCTGCAGTTAGTGGCAGATACCAGCTCTAGAGTGAGGTAAATTTTTCTGTCATTCTGAGAAGTGAAAAACTGCACAAGGTAGGGATAAGTGTTGTGTGTCAAAGTAGTGTGATTAAATTGGCTTCTGTCTCAAGTGTCTGATACTGCACTGTAGATTTTATGATACAGATCTGGTTGTGAGAAGAAAGACGTCTGTGTTTTTTAAGGCAGTTGTCTGTGATGTGACTGGAAGTGAAGCAAAAAAAAAAAAAAAAAAAAAAAAAGCCTCTAGCTAATACTTGTTTTCAGAAGCCAATTCATTAAATTGTGTTCCGGTGAGCACATGGTCTGGTATTCTGATTTGCTATATAAAGCCCAAGTTCAGTTCATGCCTTGACTTTTAAAATTCCTGTCTTTGGCCCATACTACATCAACTTTCTTCGTTGTCTCCTGTGAAATATCTTGGAGCCTGATGCTTTAGCTGAAGCTGGCTGAATCGTCACTTTGAATAATAAGTTTTGTTTTTCAGTGAAAGCAGTGATACAGTTACCAGCCTTAAGAGCTAATTCCAAAAAACGACCAAGTCTTCCCTCAATTTGAGTGGCCGTGCCATGTTCCAGTACCCATGAATTTAGTTTATTGGGCTAATTAAGTTAGTGTAGTGGGAAAGGAAGGAAAATAACTTGATGCTTTAAAAAGCTGGAGGGAGATAAAAGGATAAATGACCAACTCGGACAAGTTGTATTGTTTAGTTTGAGTCCCTGAAGACCTCTGCAAATTTATCCCAAGGAAAACAGATTAAAAGATGCCTAGTGAGAAGTTTGTCATATGTCTTGTCTTCTCCAGACTCTTAGCAGTAAAGCTGAGTCCCCGCAGTTGCTTGTTCAGATAATAGGCCCTTAAGTGCTAAGTAAATCGTTCTGGTTCTGCTTCACCTGATGAAGTTTAAGGTGAGGCATGACAAGACCATGCCTTCTGCTGGCATTGGTTTACATCCAGTGGCCTTATTTGCTTTGGCACTGCTTTCCTCCAAAGCTGCTTCAACACTATTGGTATAACCGTTTTCCATCCGCCTGCTGCAGCATGTTCATCAGCCTTGTCCTCTCCTCTGCTGACCTCACTGGAGGTGTCATGGATGGCACTGAGGACCAGCACCAAGGTGCGTTACTGCTTCTGCATTGTGGTCCTGAAGAAGGATGAAACATCTTAGTACCATCACCCCAGCTACAAGAGGTGGAATCTCCCTTAACGGTGGTCATGGTATGGAAATGCACTTTTTTCTCTAAATCCTCACTGGAAGGATGGCCTCTTCACCAGTGGTGAGACTGGAGGTGGCATATCCACCTGCTTACAGAGCTGTTGGGTGCTGGAAACGTCAGCTCAGGCTTGTCTTCCTGCTGTTTATTGCAGACAGCACCAAATCCCTCCTGTTTTGTAGCTGGAAAGCTGATGCTGTTGGTTGTTTCTGTTTTGACCTGAACTGGTCTTTTGATTTGAGCAGGAGTAGCCATCTCATCTCCTTGGAGGAGTGTGTATCTTTTGAGGGACTCATCGTCTGGGTGTAGATGACCAGGAGCCTGGACCAGGTTACCCTGAAGATGTCTTCAGTGGGATTTTGCCTACTGCCACTTTCTTCATGAGACATCAGCAGGCAGGCTGATGATTTGTTGGAGCATTACAGCAGCATAAACCCTCTTGCCCAGGATGTTCATCCTCTCCTTCCAGATCCTGGGGTCGGCATTTTTAAGACTGTTTCTGATGTAATATTAGTGAAGAAGAGGAGGGTGCTAAGTGTATGAGCAGTTTGGGCCTGGCAAGAACCTACCGACGGCTGCCTTGCATGGATGGGCTCCAACAAGGCTTCTTCATAGATGCGATGGCTTGAAGGGACTTGGTGGCAGTGGCAAACATCTGTTAGTCTCCCAAGACAACTGTAATTACAGCATGTTAATTTGGTAGATTAACTTGATGCCCAAAGGTACTGGAGAGGCATGCATTGAAGTGGATAACTTCTTAACTACTAATCTGAATTATTTAACTTCTGTCTTTGCCGTTGCACTCCATTACAGGTTGAGGGTCTCTTAGGTGCTTACAGAAATGCACACGAGCTGGAAGTGGCTTTTGTATGCTTTACCTAAAATACTGAAAATGGGGCTACTGATTCTTGGTAGAGAAAGCAAGTAGAAGTTGTTTCGTCAGACACTTCTGAACTCCCAGTATCTGTATACTTACATGGTTTTATTAATTTGTGAGGAAGAAGAATACAGGTTAAGTAGTAGTCCAGCTCTTCCTTGCTCCCTTCTCGTTGGCCCAGGAAAATGTGGTATTTTGCTAGTGCCAAATTGCCTACAGCAGGGAAGCATGCTTATATGATACACACTAGAACCATTTTGTTCCACCTCTGATTCCACCCCCTGCCTACCAGCAGAGGTGAATAGCTAGGAAGATGGGGCAGGACCTGGATTTTCCAATAAGAAATTGGGATTAGATCTCTCTGGTAAACCAAAATATGTGAATTAGCTCAGGAGGAGTCGGTTTGTGTTCTGATACTGTGTAATATCAAGGAGTGTTAGATTCTGGTACGTACTAACTTTGTCACCCCTGCACCTTTAACAAAGATGCGGAAATACTGACTATTGTGGGAAGACTTGGCCATTTGCATTTTGGATTTTTTGCCTGAAAACTGAAATCAAGAGTAAAAGAGAAGGTTTCGTTTGTAAAGAGGAAGTAAATGTAGCTCAGTTTCAGATGGAGAAGTGCTTAATGTGCTAGTCAGGACCAACCTGCTAACAGTAGTTGATCTTGGAAACATCAGCTCTTGACTGACGAAGGCATGGCAAGCGATGGAGAATTAAACAAGAGCATTCAGCGCATCCTATGGAGCTATTTAGGTGAGAGCTTAAAGGTGAAGTTCCTGGGCGTATCATCTTCAGAGATTGTGTACCCAAGAGCAAAACATTGCTGCTTGTTTAGGGAGATAGACACTCGCAATGACCCTGCTACTCATAATGATAAGCATGTAATGTACTGGCTGATATCGGCTAGTTCTCCAGTGACTTTTAAAAAGCACTGATACATTTATATTCTGCCTCTTTGTACAGGTATACCTGTTGCAGTCTTACAGTGGATAATCTAACTTGTACCTTTCCAGCTGTTGATGGTCATCTGTCAAGTTCTGCTTAAGTTGAATATACTTAAACTGTCAATGCCTCATCTTCTCATTAAAAATTTCCTGTTGAGTAGAAGGAGAGCAGGCACTTTCAGAGTCTGATTTTCTCTTAGTACTGGTCTGCAAACATCTGACTGGTAGAAACCATCTCCGTTAAAGCAGTAATGAATCCACTACGATAGGAATCCTGTACTTGTAGGGTGTTTTTGCTCAATTACAGCTATTTCTGTATTAAAATAGAGAAAAGCGTTGTGTTATGTGGGAAGCTATGGGGGAGAGGATGTTCTCTTTTGATAAATGTTACTCACCTAAGGTGGTTCGCACAGGTTGTCTGTTGGGTTTGGCTACTGCTTGGCAATGTATGAGCAGAAGAAATCTCTTTATGCCTTGTGATTACAAGTTTAACACTTGTATAATTTATTGTCATCTGCTTTTTTTGTAGGTATGATAGATTGTTTTAAAACCAACTTTCGATAAGAATGACTTCTGAAAGCTTAATGGGTTAATACTGGGTTTGATTAATGCAGAGTTTTGCATAGTGTCTAGGAGAATTGGTGAAAATGTCTTTGCATGCAATGTAACCAATGATGTACCGTTGTTCAAACGAGTTTTGTCTGACGTTACCAATTTGTTTTTGACCAGATGATGATATTAGTCTAACCAGTGTACCACTAGTGAATACTAAAGCAAGCTTGTTCTTTCTGTTCTTCCTCCCCCAGGACAAAATGTTTCACTTTTGGGTAAATACATTCTTCATAGGACTGGATGAAAATTCAGACAAAGTAGAAAATGGAAGTCTAGTTGCAGATCAGGAACTTGATGGTATTTTCAGTACAGAGCGCTCAGATAATGATAAGGAATATTTAATCCTTACATTAACAAAAAACGATCTAGACAAAGCAAATAAAGACAAAGCCAACAGATATTTCTCTCCAAACTTCAAGGTCAGTATATATTATGTGTAAACAAAGCTGAAAAGCTGCATGACGTTACCTGATTTGTCTGTCTTGCCTTATGGAGGAACCATTTGAAAGTGCTGTCTATGTAGAAATTGAATTCAGGTGTTAGTATTGCCACTGCTTAGCAAAGCTTCTAGCTTTGTAAATTTATCTGCTTTTTGGGAAGTTGATAGATGTTGAGAGACTGGGAGTAAAGTCTTCGAGTTGTTTCAGGTATTTATCAGAGCCATTAGAGATGAGTAGTAGGAGACTCAGAGACCCAGATAGCCAATGCAGCTGGTACAGAAAAGATGCTATGAGCTCTGAGCTTTATATGGTAATTCCCGAGTTGTTTTGCAGAGGTGCCTACTTCATGGGAATACCTTAACCTTTGAGTTTAGCTTTGAGGAATATGAGCCATTGCCAGCACTGTTTTTAAAAATGAAAAAGGCATTTTTAAGAATTGTAGTGTTTTCTAACTTGCTCATAGAGTATCAGTTAGACCCCAGCAATGCTCATTTGAAGGTAATGGTCATAGTTGCTTGTTGGAACGTTGCTTGGATCAGACTTTTAACACGTGCGTGCATGTGTGCCTGCACCCCACCAGTCAGAATGTTTTGTTCATTCCTGTGCACTCTTATTCCAGTCTCTGTTTGTGCTTGCAGAGGTCTAGAAGGTAGGACAGTTGAAAAGCTTAGCGTGACGTGGCCTGCCGCAGTGGTATGTCCTGCTGCTATAACTTAAGAGTACCAATCGTTGGTGCAGATATGCAGAACTCCTTCAGCTGGTGAAAAACCTGCTGCGTTGCCAGTTCTTTATTTTGTTGGGGGTGGTAGTGAGAGGCTGGTTAACCTCAGAAGAGCTCTTTCTTTATTTCCCTCTTTCCTTAGTAGAGAGAGGAGCATTTGCGTGATTCAGCGTAGCGAAAGGAGCCATGCTGTTAAAAGTTGCATTGTTACCTGTGCTCAGCTAAAGTCCAGGTTCCCTTTTTAAATGTTGTTTTTTCCTTTCCCAGGTGAAGCTATTTTTCACAAAAACAGTAGAAGAGCCATCAAATCCAGAGGCTAGCAGTTCAACTTCTGTAACACCAGATGTTAGTGACAATGAACCTGATCATTATAGATATTCTGACACCACTGACTCTGATCCAGAGAATGAACCTTTTGATGAAGATCAGCATACACAGATTACAAAAGTCTGAATATTTTTTTTATCGGAGAGGAAAAAAAAAACACACACACAAAAAAAAACAACCACGAAGAGTGACAAACTTGAATAAACTGAAAAAAGGACCTTTTTAAATGGCAAAAGGACATAGTGTCAATTACCAATTATAGGAACAATTCTTTCCTGACCAATCTTGTTTTGCCCTATAAATCTACAGGGTTTGACACTTGTCCACTCGGGGGGCGGGGGGAAAGGTTACGTAGTTCTGATATGTATATACATTTTTGTGTCAAAGGACATTAAAACTTCAATTAGGAATTATAAACATGGCACTTTCCCATTTTATTCCAGTTTTATAAAAGTGGAGACAGACCTAATGTGTACACGTAGGAATTTTTCCTTTTGTGTTCTGTCACCAAACGAAGTTCCGAAAATATACAGGTTCACATCCTGCCCCTTTTTTTGCACTTGTGTGGCAACAGAAAAGTCTGCAGTTGGCTAAGAGATGTTACTAGAAGGTTTTACTACATTCTAATGCATGTATTTTGGATGGGGGATGGAAAGTAATGCTCAGAAAGGAATATAGTCTGCTGGAGCTTGGCCTGTGTACCATATCCGGCTATTTACATCCACCTTTCTTTAGCATGCTACCGTAATTCATCCTGGACAATTGAAGAGTCGCCGCTGTCACTGCTTGTTGTTTGTGCATTTTATTTTTTTTTAAGTGTAATGGTGCTAGAAAAGGCAGCTAGAGGGAGTGATTCTGTATAGGGGTGCAGGAATGAACCTTCGCAACATCCTAAAGACCCAGAAATGAAGGGAGAAAAATTATTGGGGTCACAGAAAGGAAACACAGCAACAATGACTTAACCATACAAATGTGGAGGCTATCAACTAAAATATGGGCTTGAAACAAATTGTAACAAAATTTGACAATGATTTATTGTTTTTTTGCTGAATTGTAATGGCTGCTCCATCTCCTGTGTAATCAAGGCCAGTGCTAAGTCAGATGCTATTAGTGCATACATCAGTCAACATCTTACATTTGTATTATTAGTTTTTCAATCAT